GACCAGTAGTAAACTGACATACCGGTATCTTTGCAAATACATCCCTACCCCCATTTTATATTTTTCCAAACGTATTGTTTCAGCACCTTAAGTTTAAAAAGATTGTTAATTACAAAATTTTTCTCACAAATGACCTTGTATAGCAAATTCACCTTGTAATGCAAAATATAAAAAATTTCAAAAACTATCAGGCCATTATTTAAAATTCTAACTATCTACCATGCCCATTTAGTCAGTTTATATTTTCATAAAATACTTCTAAGGTGTAGTAATAACATCATTTTTTTCCCTAAATCATTTATCCAACACATCACCTATTCCTGAAAGCTGAAAATGTGTTAGATTATAGTGGAATAGTCTTCACACCATGCTGTGTTTGATATTGCTTTCATGTGATGTGTAGCACGCTTACAAATATGAACAAACTTTGAACAAACATGCTGACTGTGATCTTTCATCTACATGTATTTTATAGTTATTTTCAAGCTCAGTCTGTTTACTTTTCTGGTTTGACCTGTGAGGATTTCTTTTCTCGGAGCTTTAGTGACGTTTATGACAGATGATGACAAAACAAGAGAGACTGAATGACCACTCCAATATTTTAGAAACCATGCCCGCTTTTTCAAAATAATTTGAGTGTTCAAATAACTGAACTAAACATTTTATTTAGTTTTTGTTTAAAACCCACATATAGTAACTCGACCTTTATTAATTTAACAGTTAACCAACCTAGTTACAGGCACATTAGTTTTTTTCTTTCTTACATGTATCTCCAAATATTACCTGAAGTCCAACAATAGCATGATTTTTGTACAATGCTGAGCGCTGTTATTCATCACCTTCTAAATGAACACTTATACAATTATATTCATGCTAAACAAGTAAAAAAAAACACTGTATTTTTGCATTATAACAATGCTTGGTTATATTGATACATGTGTAATTATTACGATTTGTTTAAATGTAAATTATCAATATGATATCAGAAGTATCCTGAGACTCATTTGAAGAGTTGTGTTGGCATAGAAACACTGTCCACCTTATTTATTGTATTTGTACCTTGGATAAATAACACTGTAATGTGT